CCAAACTTTTTAAAAATCCTTGGTTTGAGATTTTAAAAACTCCGCCCTTTTGGTTACTTAAAAAAAATATTCTTACAAAAATCACCGCAATTTAGTGGGTCGAAAAATAATATTCCTATGAAATTTTTGGCCTTTTTGAGCTTAAAAGATAATTATTTCGAATTAAGGCCAACAAACTTTTTAAAAAAAAACACCTAGCAAAAGTTTTGAAAAAATCTTAGCCTTTAAATATGCACTCATTTTTATTACATAAAAATCTACTTCAATATATTTTAATCACGCAATTATAAAGCTTAAAACAAGTTCCTTAAAAATCTACCACTTTTTGTTTACTTCAAAAAATATTTGTTTTATTTAAAACCCAGTGATTGGATATTTGGCACCCTTGCTATATTACACACCCATCCATGTATCAGCACTTCTCACCTTCTTTTATCTTTTTACATCACAATAGTAAAACTTTTGTTTACAAGTAAATTAAATCAATAAAAAACAACAACTAACCTTGCCATTGATTCATTCTTTCGAATATTCTAGTAGTCTACATTCATAAAAATTGAATTCTAAAAAAACTCCTAAAAATTCATTCTGATTCATTTTAAAAACTGCAATGTAAATGCCTCCGTAAAACGGGTTTATCATAACAATAACCAAAAAGTCATAACCAACGACTCTGAACTGATAAAAAACCAACAACGACAATAACAACAACATAAAAATAATAATATTGTAGTGAAATTTACAAAAAACAAAAATAACAACACAAAAGTTTATGTTGAACCCTAACCTTGACTTCAGGAGACGACTGATAAAACAAAAATAAACAAAACATCGACACAACAGCCATCAACGTCTGTCTGGCCAACGGAGCAGGGTAACAAAAATGTTCTTACAAAGAAAAGGGAATGTAGACAGTCTGAGACTATTGAAAAATCGAGCCTTGGGATTACTTGAAAAAATATTCTTTAAAAAATCCACGCCTTGTTTGGGTGACTTGAAAAAATATTCTTAAAAAAATCCACGCCTTGTTTAGGTGACTTGAAAAAATATTCTTTAAAAAATCCACGCCTTGTTTGGGTGACTTGAAAAAATATTCTTAAAAAAATCCACGCCTTGTTTAGGTGACTTGAAAAAATATTCTTTAATAAATCCACGCCTTGTTTGGGTGACTTGAAAAAATATTTTCTAAAAAATCCACGCCTTGTTTGGGTGACTTGAAAAAATATTCTTTAAAAAATCCACGCCTTATTTGGGTGACTTGAAAAAGTATTCTTTAAAAAATTCACGCCTTGTTTGGTTACTGGAAAAAATGTTCTTTAAAAAATCCAAGCCTTTTTGTTTACTAAAAAAATATTTTTTTATTTTAGATATTTCAATACAATGTTCCAGCCAAACTAGTTTTGAATATTATTGTTAAATAAATACGTATTTCAATTCTTGATATTTAAAATTGGAATAAAAATAAAATAATTTCTGGACCATAATTATTTTTTATGTTCAGATGAAATATTCCATTCTTTGTCTGGCACACTATTGGTCAAAAGTGTTTAACCAAAAAAAAAATTCTTAAAACTCTCGATAATGAATTTCAAAACGCAGATCAAACTTTTAACCCTTCCATCCATACACAATACATGTATGACGAACAAAAGATATCCACATAAATGAATGAATAAACACAGCAGAACAAAACAGGCCTATCAGGAATTTCAAAATCTATTTACAAAGGCTTGTTTTCCGAACCAACCAACAAACGAACGAACTGCAGTCGACGTCGTTTTTAGTTTTTTGCAAAGATTCCAGCAATGACTGTCGTCTAGCTGCTGCAAAACCAGACTGCATTTCTTCAAAACAGTTGGAGTTGGATAGCGTAACTACGCGGTTGGCAATTTGAAATCGGAACTCATCGAACAAAATCGTATTGTTGAGTATTCGTTAAACGGTCTGTTTTTTATTTGAAATTTGAAAATTTTCTTGTGACATTTTTTATTCAAAATTTGAAGGCAGTGAGTGAAAAAATATTGAAATTTTTAAATATATTTCTTCTCCACCAATTGTTTTGGTTGCAGGTTGTGGGCAACCAACCAACAAATTATTACAAAATGCTTTTTGTTGTTGTCATACGAATAAATTGTTATACCATTGTTGCTGCTACAGCCTGTCTTATTTATGTTTGTGGCACAAATGATACCTTGCAACGGCAACAACGGCAACCTGCAGTGGCAATAAAAACGAAACAAAACGTTTCCGCATTGAGTGCATTTTCCGGCTATACAAACAATAAATTTTTATGACAGAAAAGTGAATTAACAAAAATTATTTTTTACAGAGAGTGAAAATTTTTTTCAAACTACAACAGGCGTGGATTTTTTAAAGAATATTTTTTCAAGTCACCCAAACAAGGCGTGGATTTTTTAAAGAATATTTTTTCAAGTCACCCAAACAAGGCGTGGATTTTTTAAAGAATATTTTTTCAAGTCACCCAAACAAGGCGTAGGCGTGGATTTTTTAAAGAATATTTTTTCAAGTCACCCAAACAAGGCGTGGATTTTTTAAAGAATATTTTTTCAAGTCACCCAAACAAGGCGTGGATTTTTTAAAGAATATTTTTTCAAGTCACCCAAACAAGGCGTGGATTTTTAAAAAATATATATTTTTTTTGTAGTGTTGGCGGTTTATTTGGGATACCATTTGTATTTTGTTTTTGCAAAATAATCAGGCTGAATCCCATTGAATATTTTTTAAGAATACCAAATCGAGGATTATTTAAAAAATATTTTTTCAAAAATACCAAATTGTGGATTATTTAAAAAATATTTTTTGAAGGATACCAAATCGTGGATTTAAAAAAAAAAAAACAAAATTGCGAGAATACCAAAGGCGACTTCAATATAATGTGTCTTTAAGGGGACCCCCCCCATTCTCGGTGTCAAAATTTTTTTTGATTTAATTCGAATCTACTCTAATTCTAGAATGTTCCTACAAAATTTCAAGTAAAAATCTCAAGAACTCTTGAAGATATAGCCGATTTATTGTGTCAGCATCAAGTGACGGCTAAAGGGCTTCTCAAACTTTAAACGCGTTTTTCTCACAACGAATGGCGGGCACGATAACTCAAAAACTAGTAATCCAATTGGTTTCAAATTTTGACACGTTTCTCTGGGAGTGTGTAGCTCTCGTATGAACTAGGATAAAGCCAATCGGTGAAGATCTTCCTTATTTTTTAACTTAGTTTGTGGTAAAAAATAGGCGATTTTCCATAAAAAAAATTTTCAAAGTTCCGCCATTTTGTTAATTGTTGTGCGAAGTCAATAATCCTAGTTCATACGAGAGCCAGACATGTCCTCTTTCTAACACAGTTGGAATTTTCGGATTCCGATGTTCCAGTGAGGAGTTATCATGCCCGCCATCGAAAATAAGGACTTTTCTTTGAACCCAAAAAACAACAACAAAACAACAACAAAAAATTTTGGTAAATTATTTTTCTTCCTTTTTAAATCTTCAAATATATATGTGCCAAGTTACAAACCTTAACAAGCATTGGTATTCATTTACCAGCCCATTTAAAATCTTAAAAATAAAAAATCGAGAATGGGGGGGTTCCCTTAAATAATCCACGCCCCAAAGGCCCCTAAAAAATTCTTCTTTAAATAAATACGTCTAGAAGGCCTCTATAAAAATCTTCTTTAAAAGATCCACGCCTCAAATGCCTCTATAAAATTCTTCTTAAATAATCCACGCCTAGGAGGCCTCTATAAAATTAGTCTTTAAATAATCCACGCCTAGGAGGCCTCTATAAAATTTGTCTTTAAATAATCCACGCCTAGGAGGCCTCTATAAAATTTGTCTTTAAATAATCCACGCCTAGGAGGCATCTATAAAATTTGTCTTTAAATAATCCACGCCTAGGAGGCCTCTATAAAATTTGTCTTTAAATAATCCACGCCTAGGAGGCATCTATAAAATTTGTCTTTAAATAATCCACGCCTAGGAGGCCTCTATAAAATTTGTCTTTAAATAATCCATTCCTAGGAGGACTCTATAAAATTCTTCTTTAAATAATGCACGCCTTGTAGACCTCAATAAAATTCCATGCCTCTATAAAATTCTTCTTAGAAAAACCAAGCCTAGGAGGCCTCTAGAAAACTATTTTTTAAATAATCCAACCCTAGGAGGCCTCCATAAAATTATTCATTAAATAATCCACACCTGGAAGAGCTCTATAAAATACTTCTTTAAATAATCCACGCCTGGAAGAGCTCTATAAAATAATTTTTTAAATAATCCACGACTCGGAGGCGTGGGCCTGAGGGCCCTAAAAAAATCTTCTTTAAATAATCCCCGCCTCAAAGCCTTTAAAAATTCTTCTTTAATTTTTTTTTAATCTACTTCCCAACCTCCATTCCCGCCATTGCAGCCATTCAGAGTCATTGTCACTTTTATTTGTTGCACTCGACAATAAAAGTTATTCAATGTTCGCTGCTGCCAAATTGCATGGCAGTTGGCCGCATTACCGCATAACATGGTTGGCGGATTATGCCATTACCACTAAACAAAAAAGACAGTAGCAACAACCACATCTAACAGCAATTGCAATTTGTGTGGCAAACGAAAGTGCAAGTAGAACTAGTTTTGCTTGCAACGTGCAACGCGGTTTTCGCTTTTTTCCTCATCGTCATCATTACCCTCCCCTTTGGCTATTTGTTGAAGATAAAAATCGCTTTGTTTTGTTTTAATTTTTATTTTTCCTTTTGGTTATTTTCTTTTTCTTTCTTTAATTTTTTATTGCAGAGGATAGATAGAAAGAGTGTGGCAGTGGCACTATTGGTTGTGGCAGTATTTCAGTTGACCAGTATTCGTCGAGCGGAAGTGTTTGTTTTTTTTCGCGTTTGGAAGGAAAGGAAGCTTTACAAATCCAGAGGCAAAAAAAAACTGATAAGAAAAACAACTAGCCAGTGGTGTTAAATTTTTTTTACCAAAAAAACACAATTATTTAAATTATGGCCGATCAAGTTATTAAGCCAGGAGGGTAAGTCGAACATTATTAATTTGCATAAAAATTTACACCTTGAATTATCACATCAATAAATCCGACAACTTAGTTGCATTTAAATAACTGATTTAGAGGTTAGATATTGAAAAAAATGGCACTATTATTGGGGCTGACCCCAATAATTTCTACTAAGTGACTGTAATTTCAATGAAATCAGGTTATTAATAAACACATTTTTTTATATTTTTCAGAACAAATCCGCTATTAAAACGTATCTTTGATATTATTCAAGATGTTTTCGATTTTATTGTACTGATCGTTCAGATGACATTGGAAATATTTAAGGCTGGGGTGGAGAAAATAGTTGGTCGAGAGCCGAAGGATATTAGTGGTGAAATTGTATTGGTAAGTTCCGAAGCTTTCTAATGTAACCTCCCAAGTCGATTGGATTGAAAATTATCATTTATTTCAGATTACCGGCTCAGGACATGGTATAGGTCGTGAACTGACAATGCAATATGTTAGCCAACACAGTACGGTCATATGTGTTGATATCAATGAGAAAAACAATGAGGAGACAATGAAGAAGGCCAAAGCCCTCAATAGGGGAGTGGTCCACAGTTACATGTGAGTATTTCTTTAAATAAACCCCGCCTAGAAGACCTCTATAAAATTATTCTTTAAATAATCCACGCCTAAAAGGATTTTAGATTTTTTTTCTTTAAATAATCCACGACTACAAGGCTTTTAGAAATTTCTTCTTTAAATAATCCACGACTACAAGGCTTTTAGAAATTTCTTCTTTAAATAATCCACGCCTAGAAGGCCTTAGGAAATTTCTTCTTTAAATAATCCACGCCTAGAAGGCCACTATAAATTTCTTCTTTAAATAATCCAAGCCTAGAAGGCCTTTAAAAATTTTTTCTTTAAACAATCCACGCCTAGAAGGCCTTTAGAAATTTCTTTTTTAAGGGGACCCCCCATACTCGGGTTCAAAAATTTTTTTTTATTTAATTCGAATCTACACTAATTCAAGAATGTCCCTACAAAATTGCAAGTAAAAATTTCAAGAACTTTTGAAAATATAGTCGATTTATTGTGTCAGCATCAAGTGGCGGGTAAAGGGCTTCTCAAACTTTAAACGCGTTTTTCTCTTTTGCGAATGGCAAATTTTTACACGTTTCTCTCTGAGTGTATAGCTATCGTATAAACTAGGATAAAGCCAATCGGTGAAGATCTTCCTTATTTTTTAACTCGGGTTTTGGTAAAAAAATCGGCAAATCAAAGGTCCGCCATTTTGTTAATTTTAGAGCGAAATCAATAATTCTAGTTCATACTCTTTCTAACACCGTTGGAATATTCGGATTCCGATGTTCCAGTGAGGAGTTATCATGCCCGCCATCAAAAATAAATAGTCCACGCCTGGAAGACCCATAACAAATTCTTCTTTAAATAATCCACGCCTAGAAGGCCTTTAGAAATTTCTTCTTTAAATAATCCACGCCTAGAAGGCCTTTAGAAATTTCTTCTTTAAATAATCCACGCCTAGAAGGCCTTTAGAAATTTCTTCTTTAAATAATCCACGCCTAGAAGGCCTTTAGAAATTTCTTCTTTAAATAATCCACGCCTAGAAGGCCTTTAGAAATTTCTTCTTTAAATAATCCACGCCTAGAAGGCCTTTAGAAATTTCTTCTTTAAATAATCCACGCCTAGAAGGCCTTTAGAAATTTCTTCTTTAAATAATCCTCGCCTAGAAGGCCTTTAGAAATTTTTTCTTTAAATAATCCACGCCTAGAAGGCCTTTAGAAATTTCTTCTTTAAATAATCCACGCCTAGAAGGCCTTTAGAAATTTCTTCTTTAAATAATCCTCGCCTAGAAGGCCTTTAGAAATTTCTTCTTTAAATAATCTACGCCTAGAAGGCCTTTAGAAATTTCTTCTTTAAATAATCCACGCCTAGAAGGCCTTTAGAAATTTCTTCTTTAAATAATCCTCGCCTAGAAGGCCTTTAGAAATTTCTTCTTTAAATAATCCACGCCTAGAAGGCCTTTAGAAATTTCTTCTTTAAATAATCCACGCCTAGAAGGCCTTTAGAAATTTCTTCTTTAAATAATCCACGCCTAGAAGGCCTTTAGAAATTTCTTCTTTAAATAATCCTCGCCTAGAAGGCCTTTAGAAATTTCTTCTTTAAATAATCCACGCCTAGGAGGCCTTTAGAAATTTCTTCTTTAAATAATCCACGCCTAGAAGGCCTTTAGAAATTTCTTCTTTAAATAATCCACGCCTAGAAGGCCTTTAGAAATTTCTTGTTTAAATAATCCACGCCTAGAAGGCCTTTAGAAATTTCTTGTTTAAATAATCCACGCCTGGAAGGCCTTTAGAAATTTCTTCTTTAAATAATCCACGCCTAGAAGGCCTTTTGAAATTTCTTCTTTAAATAATCCACGCCTAGAAGGCCTTTAGAAATTTCTTCTTTAAATAATCCACGCCTAGAAGGCCTTTAGAAATTTCTTCTTTAAATAATCCACGCCTAGAAGGCCTTTAGAAATTTCTTCTTTAAATAATCCACGCCTAGAAGGCCTTTAGAAATTTCTTCTTTAAATAATCCACGCCTGGAAGACCCATAACAAATTCTTCTTTAAATAATCCACGCCTAGAAGGCCTTTAGAAATTTCTTCTTTAAATAATCCACGCCTAGAAGGCCTTTAGAAATTTCTTCTTTAAATAATCCACGCCTAGAAGGCCTTTAGAAATTTCTTCTTTAAATAATCCACGCCTAGAAGGCCTTTAGAAATTTCTTCTTTAAATAATCCACGCCTAGAAGGCCTTTAGAAATTTCTTCTTTAAATAATCCACGCCTAGAAGGCCTTTAGAAATTTCTTCTTTAAATAATCCACGCCTAGAAGGCCTTTAGAAATTTCTTCTTTAAATAATCCACGCCTAGAAGGCCTTTAGAAATTTCTTCTTTAAATAATCCACGCCTGGAAGACCCATAACAAATTCTTCTTTAAATAATCCACGCCTAGAAGGCCTTTAGAAATTTCTTCTTTAAATAATCCACGCCTGGAAGACCCATAACAAATTCTTCTTTAAATAATCCACGCCTGGAAGACCCATAACAAATGCTTCTTTAAATAATCCACGCCTGGAAGACCCATAACAAATGCTTCTTTAAATAATCCACGCCTGTAAGACCCATAACAAATGCTTCTTTAAATAATCCACGCCTGGAAGACCCATAACAAATGCTTCTTTAAATAATCCACGCCTGGAAGACCCATAACAAATGCTTCTTTAAATAATCCACGCCTGGAAGACCCATAACAAATTCTTCTATAATAACCCACGCCTAGAAGACCTTTAGAAATTTCTTCTTAAAATAATCCACGCCTGGAAGACCCATAACAAATGCTTCTTTAAATAATCCACGCCTAGAAGACCTCTAAACAATTCTTCTTTAAATAATCCGCGCCTAGAAGACCTCTAAACAATTCTTCTTTAATAATCCACGCTTAGAAGACCTCTAAACAATTCTTCTTTACATACTCCACGCCTAAAAGACCTCTAGGCAATTCTTCTTTAAAAAATCCACGCCTGAAGGACCTCAATAAAATTCGTCCTTAAATAATCCACGTCCGGAAGACCTTTCTAAAATTATTCCTTAAATATTTTACACGTATAAAACCTCTTTAAAATACATCTCTAAATATTTCACGCCTAGAAGGCCTCTATAAAACTATTCTTTAAATAAACCAACCTCTATAAAATTATTCTCTAAATAAGTCACGACTGTAGGCCTATATAATATTATTTTTGTCTCTTCCCTCTCCCTCCAGCTGTGATGTAACTGATCGTGAAGCCATTTTAAATTTGGCCGACAAAATTAAACGTGATATCGGTCCGGTATCGGTGCTGATAAATAATGCCGGTATTATGCCAACAAAACCATTGGAAAAACAAACCCCTGAAGAGATACGGCGTACCTTCGACATCAATGTATTTGCCCATTTCTGGACATTGGAAGCATTCTTACCCCAGATGAAGCAACAAAATCGCGGCCACATTATTGCCATCTCATCGATGTGCGGTGTCGTTGGTATGCCCAATTTGGTGCCATATTGTGCCTCGAAATTTGCTGTACGCGGTATGATGGAGGCTCTGCACAATGAAATGCATTTGGGACCATATAAGAATTTGGTAAGAAGAAACTCCTAATAATCCTACCAAAATAATTTCTATTTGTTCTTATTCTGGTTCCTTTTCAGATAAAATTCACCGCCATTTATCCCTATGCCGTGGACACGGGCCTCTGTGAAAGTCTCAATTCTAGATTTCCCTCAGTGCTGGCCATGTTGGATCCCAAATATGTGGCAGAGAAAATCATTGAAGCCCATCGCTGTGAACTGACCAATGTGGCATTGCCATCGTACATGTTTCATTTAAATAACTGGACCCGCCTACTGCCCCATACCGCGGCACTTTTATTGTTCGACTATATGAACTGTGCAATAGGTTGTAAATAAGTTATGGCATTTGTTATTGTAAGAAGTAAATAATATATACATTTTTTAATAAATATTTTGTACTATTTGAAAAAAAATATTCTTTAAATAATCCACCCTTGAAGACCTCTATAAAATAATTCTTTAAATAATCCGCCCTTGAAGACCTCTATAAAATTCTTCTTTAAATAATCCGCCCTTGAAGACCTCTATAAAATTCTTCTTTAAATAATCCGCCCTTGAAGACCTCTATAAAATTCTTCTTTAAATAATCCACGCCTTGAAGACCTCTATAAAATTCTTCTTAAAATAATCCACGCCTTGAAGACCTCTATAAAATTCTTCTTTAAATAATCCACGCCTGGAAGATCTCTATAAAATTATTCTTTAGATAATCCACGCCTTGAAGACCTCTATAAAATTCTTCTTTAAATAATCCACGCCTTGAAGACCTCTATAAATGCTTCTTTAAATAATCCACGCCTTGAAGACCTCTTTAAGACCCCTATAAAATTTTTTGCTTCAAAATCCGCACTTCATAACAACAACAAAATATATGTATTTACAAAAACAATAACAAAAAATAATTCATTCAACTCCCCTTTCTTCATTTGGCCCAAAGGCCACAGAAGGCTTGACCACTGATCTCCTTCGGGGCTTTAATAACGCCGTCTCCTTTAAACTATCACGCTGTGTTGAATCCCCTTCCCTCGGCATCTTTGGTTCATAAAAATCCATATAATTTTCCGTAGCCACTCGTCGTATAGCTGGAGGTGTTGAGGGTCTAACCAATTCATTGGCTTCATGAATTTTGAGATGGGTAAAAACAGGAATATACGAAGCGGTTATATCCAAATCGATACGTTGCTCCACTGCACTGCGTCCTGGCAGCTGGAAATGTTTACCCAAGATGGGAGCACGCAACGATTGGCCATATAAACGAGATATATTATCTTGATCATCCTCCACACCACCATCACCATTAGGGTCTTTGGAGGAAGCTGCTTGATTTGATTTTTCCTTGGGATATGCCATGGGAAAGTTGTCCAATTGTTGACCGGTAATGACCTAAAGAGAGAGAAAGTTGATTTATTTTTTCTTTTGGTTCAGATATCCCCCTACCTTCATGGTTGTCGAACTGGCCACCTTTTGTATATCGGGTGGCATGCGAAACTTTTCATATTTCTCTTCAACTGATTCGAAGGGCGATAATTTCATCCAAGGCAATGGGGACCCTAAAGTACCCAAATAACGGCCACCCAGTGACCACAGACGGCAGGAGCAATCGTGACTGTCCCTAAAATAAAATAACTTCGTAATTATTATTTCAATAATTTGTTTAATTAAATAAAAATCATATTTACGTTATTAATATTTTCGTTTGATTTATATAGGCAATTGAATTGATGGCCCTTAGATGCCCCTTGTAGGAGCTAACCAGCAACGGCTCCGTCTGATGGCGTACTGCTCGCTTGGATCTCGTTAGAAATCTGTCATTTCGCAAAAATATAAATTGTAACCGCAACAATGGCATGTTAACTTTCACTTTATCCTTTTCGGGTATCCTGGAGGGAGGAAGGAGTGTGGAGGAGGAAATCATAAGTCAACAGGTATGATAGTGTATGTGTGAAGGCAGGGTGGTGGCGGCTCACAATGACAATTCATAAAGATGCCATTAAATATGACAAGTCATGTTCCGGGCTGGTAGACATGTAAACGATTTGGTACCCCCGAACAAAATTTGATTGCTCCTGAAGGCAATAACCAGAACTACACTAGGCTACAAGGAAACAATTTTTGTGTAAGGCAGCGAAGAGAATTTTTTAAAAGGCTTCCAGGAGTGGATTATTTTGAGCAGAATTTTATAGAGAACTTTCAGGCGCGAATTATTTAAAGAACAATAGAGGTCTTCAAGGCGTGGATTATTTAAAGAATACTTTTATAGAGCTCTTCATGGCGTGGATTATTTAAAGAATACTTTTATAGAGCTCTTTATGGAGTGGATTATTTAAAGAATAACTTTATAGAGCTCTTCAAGGGGTGGATTATTCAAGGAATACTTTTATAGAGCTCTTTATGGAGTGGATTATTTAAAGAATACTTTCATAGAGGCCTTCCATGTGCCTATTATTAGGAGAACTATTCTATAGAGGTCTTCAATGTGTCTATTATTAGGATAACTATTCTATAGAGCTCTTTAAGGCCTGGATTATTTAAAGAATAATTTTATAGAGCTATTCAAGGCGTGGATTATTTATGGCACATTTTGTAAGCTCCTTCTAATCGGATTTCTCTGTTGTCCTGTGTATAATTTATATAAGTAATTCATTATACCCTTCACCACACTGTGGTACAGGTTATTATGTCTTTGTGCATATGTTTGTAACAGGCAAAAATAATCGAGATAGACCCATGGTTGAAATTGGGAAAAATCGGTTCAGATTTAGATATAGCTCCCATATATATTTTCGTCCGATTTAATGTAAACGGTCCCTATATATCTTTCGATTTGCACGAAATTTGGCACAGCGTAATGAATTAGGTCTAGAATGATGTGTGTAAAATTTCATAAAAATCGGCTCAGATTTAGATATAGCTCCCATATATATCTTCGTCCGATTTAAGGTAAATTGTGTACCCAAGCCCCTATATATCTTTCGATTTGCACGAAATTTGGCACAACGTAATGAATTAGGTCTATAATGATGTGTGTAAAATTTCATAAAAATCGGTTCAGATTTAGATATAGCTCCCATATATATCTTCGTCCGATTTAAGGTAAATTGTGTACCAAAGCCCCTATATATCTTTCGATTTGCATGAAATTTGGCACAGCGTAATGAATAAGGTCTAGAATGATGTGTGCAAAGTTTCGTGAAAATCGGTTCAGATTTAGATATAGCTCCCATAAATATCTTCGTCCGATTTAAGGTAAATTGTGTACCAAAGCCCCTATATATCTTTCGATTTGCACGAAATTTGGCACAGCGTAATGAATTAGGTCTAGAATGGTGTGTGCAAAGTTTCGTGAAAATCGGTTCAGATTTAGATATAGCTCCCATATATATCTTCGTCCGATTTAAGGTAAATTGTGTACCAAAGCCCCTATATATCTTTCGATTTGCACGACATTTGGCACAGCGTAATGAATTAGGTCTAGAATGATGTGTGCAAAGTTTCGTGAAAATCGGTGCTGATTTAGATATAGCTCCCATATATATCTTCGTCCGATTTAAGGTAAATTGTGTACCAAAGCCCCTATATATCTTTCGATTTGCATGAAATTTGGCACAGCGTAATGAATAAGGTCTAGAATGATGTGTGCAAAGTTTCGTGAAAATCGGTTCAGATTTAGATATAGCTCCCATATATATCTTCGTCCGATTTAAGGTAAATTGTGTACCAAAGCCCCTATATATCTTTCGATTTGCATGAAGTTTGGCACAGCGTAATGAATAAGGTCTAGAATGATGTTTGACAAATTTCGTGAAAATCGGTTCAGATTTAGATATAGCTCCCATAAATATCTTCGTCCGATTTAAGGTAAATTGTGTACCAAAGCCCCTATATATCTTTCGATTTGCACGAAATTTGACACAGCGTAATGAATTAGGTCTAGAATGATGTGTGCAAAGTTTCGTGAAAATCGGTTCAGATTTAGATATAGCTCCCATATATATCTTCGTCCGATTTAAGGTAATTGGTATACCAAAGACCCTATATATCTTTCGATTTGTACGAAATTGGGCATAGCGTACTGGCATTTGGGTCTATAATAATTTGTGCTAAGTTTCATGAAAATCGGTTCAGATTTAGATATAGCTCCCATATATATTTTTGCCCGATTGTAGGTAATTGGTGCACCAAAGTCCCTGGAAATCTTTTCATTTGCACGAATTTTGGCATAGCGTACTGAATTAAGTCTAGAATGATGTATACAAAGTTTCGTGAAAATCGGTTCAGATTTAGATATAGCTCCCATATATATTTTCGTCCGATTTTATGTAATTGGTGCACCAAAGTCCCTATATATCTTTCGATTTGCACGAATTTTGGTATAGGGTACGTAGGTCAGCTAAGAACTTCGCTTTGTTACAAGAGACATTTGGGTTTGAAAGGTTTTTTGTATAGAAGCAATAGCTTCTGGGGAGAATATCCCAACAAAAAACTAAGGGAACTTATGAGGATCAGTGGCGTGATCCGAAACTATAGTCTTCCCTGCCTTACCCCTCGGCAATCAATGCCATACATTCCCCACTAATAGATAGTTGTTTTTTATAAAAACAAAATACAAATGGTATCCCAAATAAACCGCCAACACTACTGAGGTACTGAATTAAGTCTAAAATGATGTTGCTAAGCTGCGTGAAAAGATCCATAGCAAGGCCGAATGACACAACGTACTGAAGTAATATAAATTAGTCTCTGGCAATTTTCCCTGAAATCGGTTCAGATATAGATATATAACAAAATCGCGTCGTCTGTTGGGATACATATGTAGAATATACCCAAAGTGGTGAAGGGTATCATATAGTCGGCCCAGCCCGACTTTACTACTTTCCTTACTGGTTTTTCTTATGGAATTGTTTGTCAATTTTGTCAAAGTTTGTCCAACCCCTCGGAAAATAGTCGTAGTCATAAATGTCATGCAAACATAATTTTAATAAGTTCTACTTTTTGCGGAATTTCATATTAGTTCGTGTTATCATTTATCTTCATATTTCGTGACAGGATATTCCACCCACCAAAAGCTTACAATAACAGCAACAACTAATACAGATAAATCGTTGTTACCCCGTCGGCGGGGTAACAACGTTTCAGTTTCTTGGGTACGCTACATAAAGGGTTAACAAGGGTTAAAGGGTTAAGTTATTAAAAATAGTTTTCATGGTTATGGGAGGATGGTCCTTCGATGACATATTTCTCAAAGGCTATGGGGATGGTCGTTGAAAAAATTGTGCTTTGAAAAAAGTGAATCTCAGCGAAGATGAAAGCGCTAACTTCATGGATCGTTGGAAATTGATGGTTACGAGGCTGAGTTTTCCTCCTCCTCCTCCTCCTTGAAGAAATGAATGGCTCATCAAGAAAGGCAACCACTATAGGTGTCACTGCTAAGGAAGTCTCCGACCATAAGAATTACCGGAGAGCAATTAACTTTGCCAACCGGTTCATCGAGCGGAATAGGAACATGATTATCGACAAGAAATTCCTTCAGATCAAGAGGGATCTTAAATTTAAGTTCTCATTAAACTATTGGAGAAGAAGAATTCGTATCCGTAACGTGTAAAGTAACCCTCCAGCGGAGGAGGCAACTCTGGAGATGCCCGAGCACGACTGGGAAAATTATGTCAAGGACTTCTTATCAATCAGGACATTCGAGGGGTCACGGAATGATGACGGAATGAGAAATCATTGGCGACATCTATGAGAGAAGACAAGGATCTATCTTAGTCGGTTAGAAGAAGAATCCGTAAAAGGCCTTCAGAAAACCCCGAACCAGGCTTATGACGGTACGACAGCTGTTAGACAAACCCAAAAAACGACTGTAACGCCCAAAATTCGCCGACACTAATTTTTGGGCACAAACTTAATATTCATTCAAATTAATTTAAAATCTGAGGTTTCAACGTATTTAGATTAAACTAATAATCAAAAGATTTCTTGGTGGTAAGACAAGAATCTAATCTGCAGTTACAGTGTTGAAAACGGTCTACATTAAAAATTCTTACTCCGTTGAAAAATATAATAAGCCGGCTCGGGTTAACAGCCAACCACCAAGTGATAATCGGAACAGTTTTCCAGAGATGACTGTAGAGTGGTGAGCGAACGAGCCCTCGACCACCAGTGTGGTAGCTGCAGAATAGTCGAGTGGGATTGCAAGGCGAGTCCTCAGCTACCAGTGAAGTGCTTACTATTTAGTCAATTGGGGTCATCATCGCTGTCGTCTAGGTAAAGAGAGTTTGAAAAACGAGCCCTTTGCTTTGAGACGAAACATTAGGCTGTCTCTGTGTCAATGCTGCCTCCTACCTCCGGCTGCCATCACCGTACATCGAGCTGCTGCCTTGCCAGTTGCCGCCAACCTTCTGTATGCCGTCATCATTCATCATATCTCCAGGTGCCGTCACCATTCATCTGGCAGCCGCTGTTCCAAGTTGCCGCCTATCTCCGGTATCGTTTATCGGGTTGCTGATGTGTCAAGCTGATGCAAACCTTCGTCGGGCTGCCGCCAACCATCTGTGTGTCGTCACCATTCATCGGGCTGTCACTATGTCAAGCTGCCTCATATCTCCAGTTACCGCCACTATTCATCGGGCAGCCGCTATGCCAAGCTGCCGCCTACATCTGCGTATCTTCACCGTTCATCGGGCTGCTACAAAGCTTTTGCGTTCCGTCACCGTTCATCGGGTTGCCGCTGTGCCAAGATGCTGCCAACCGGTTGCCGTCACTATCCTTCGTACTGACTCCAACCTACGATCTATCCAACCTCGTCGGGCTTAATGTGACTCCAACCTACGTGCAATAAACATCGTCCGAGTTCCTATAATAGAAAACCCTCTGCCAACAGTCCTAACATATCGTTTTTCTCTCTATTAAAAATTCCACAACGAAAATAAATTCTTTTGACGATCATGACTCCCTTTGAACCTATCCCAGCTTCAAAGTAGTAAACATGTCGTCATACCACCCAAAATGGGGAACGCGAAGCAGGAATTGTTCGCGATGAAACGGGAACCTCAAACATAACCAGTGGCATTGAAGAGGATGCGGTCTTCGGATGAGTAGCAACTAGCCGCGAAGAGACCACGGAGAAGGTCGCTTGAAATTCGCCAAACTGCTTTGTATACGCCGGTTACGTCAACGTGGACACCTACCAAGGGCGGCAAGAATACCAAAAAAAAAAATCCGTTTCGAAGCAAGGGTCCTAGGACATAATCCTAAATCTCCATGGTGTAGGAATTATACATGCCACGACTTTACTCATTAATAGAATCCGCAAACTCACCCAAAATTCTCAATATACCATATCTTGATATAACCAAATGCAGTTCCGTTAAACAAATAACGATTCTTGCGATCTGTAGCCATGGCCAGGACACAATCTCCCGTCTTATGAATGGCATTAAATTGATCCAAATAGCCGCCATGATGATGATGAGAATAGATTTGTATTACACCCGTTTCCAGAGAGACAAATACACTACCTAAAAGAAATCAATGAGCAGACATCATTTATTACCCTTCGAAATAGTTCCTCATTCCTCACCATGTTCCCGATTCATGGGCCGGGTTTGTAAAAATAACACCGCCTGCACCGACATGGGTAGCGACTCACTTCGCTCACTATGCTGCTCCTCCAAGCTGATAGCCTCACCCTCATCGGCCTCCTTAAGGCGGCGACCCTTAAATCGTTCCCTTTTCGTTTGTTTCTTTTCCAATTCTCTGATCCGATCCGATATGGATTTACGAACATAACGCGATATACTGACATGATACGATTGTCTTCTACGTTCACTAGCACGTCTCAACTCTTCCGCATTTTCATCCTCGTCATCTTCGTCCTCTGGGCGATGATATTTTAGTTCGATAAATTTATCAGGTGTGGCAACATTGTAGCGCCGATATGGTTGACCTGTTTCCAACTTCCAAAATATCAATTCACCCGAATAGGTGGCAGTTATGACACCTTCTCCTAGCTTTACATCAGCACAGGTGATGTCATCCGTATGGAACATGGGCCATTTTTTGGCATCACCATACTCACGACCCTCGGCATCATTGAATTCCGTTACCTGCATATCCCAGCCAACGGCTAGGATTCTAAAAAATAATTCTTTCTTTAAAAGTTGTAAAAGTTCTTTATTATCAAATTCTCCCTTACCTCTCCACAACCCATATCACTGCAGTGACTTCATGTTCCGCTCGAATACTCATATTCCGAATACACACCGCATTATTATAATTCCATATTTTCAGCGAACCATCTCGAGCTCCGGTCAGCAAAAATTGTTCCAGTGGATCAAAGCAGGCTGCTGTAATTTCGATATCAATATTCTCTCCGTACATTTGCTTGGTATGACAATTTTTCATAATAATTTTCCTACGACCGGTCCATGGATCCCAAACAATGATATAACTATCCAAACCGCAGGTGACAACATTTCGAAACAGCCGATTATATAAAACCACCGAGACCGGAGCAGCATGAGTATTGCCATCTGTCAGATCCACCCGCACCCGAGGGTTGCATTTCAAGGCGACCAATTTGCGACCGCCCACCAGGAGAACTCGCATATGGGGGTGATAGTAATAGGCCAAATTTGTTTCCCCAGGTATTAGGCGTACCAAATCACCATAGGTCTGCAACAGCACATGTTCCGTTAAATCCCAAACTTTGATGATTTTTTGGTAGTCCACACTAGAAATCCACATAAGAATATCAAATTCCCAAAAATGGGGTCTGGAATTCTGATAGCTCACCTGTAAACCTTCTTTTCATCAGGTTGGACAAATACCATAACGATCCCACCATTATGACCCGTCAAAATTCCCGAAGGTTCACCGGGTATATAGACATCCCAAATTCGTACAAAGGTATCCGGGCCACCGGTTACAACAATGTTGTTCTTCTCATCCACAAAGAAGGTGGTGACACCCTAGGAAGGAAAATATTTTTTAAAACACCCACACCTTGAGAATCATAGAAAAAATATTCAATAAAAAATCCACGCCTTGGTGATCATGGAAAAAATTATATTTTTTAATCCTCGGGTCCACCAGAAATATTCTTTTAAAAACCCACTCCTTGAAAAAGATATTCTTAAAAAAAATCTCCACCTTACCAAAGGTATCCGAAAAATAGTCTTCTCGTCCCCATTGGCCACTATCAGCCCTGGACATCGTCCCCGATATTTTTTCGTATTCCGATATTCGGCAGCCGAAAATAGGGAATTCAAACGCATCGAATAGAAGGTCTGTTGTATAAGTTCGCTATGGATATTCGGATATTCGTGGACAATGAACTGTGGAAGTTTTCCCTACAACAAAGAACAAATTGTATTTCCTCTTCTCCTCACCCTCCAAAGGTTCCCTTTACCTTAATTATATCCGACCAGAAAACTTCTACCAACGCCGCTCCAGGCTTCGACTGGAATGGTCCTCTCAAATGGGGATTAAATTCCAAAATGCGAACATTACCACCATAGTCGCCCAAAACTAGGCGAGAATTTGTTCTGCCATTCGGAAAGAAGCTGTAGGACATACAGCAAACAGCATAGGGCATACTGCGAACTACAATCCGCAAGGTAAATGTGGAGGCCACTGTTTCATGAAATCGCAATTCCCGTTCTGTGGAAGAGGTACAGACAATGCTAACATCCGACAAAGCCTGGATGGCCAATATCCAGGTGGACATTTTCAAGTGGACTGGGGATCACAGAAATGCATTAGAGGGTGTTTTTCGAGGTCTGTCCCCGTCCCCAAACTTACTACTTTCCGACATGCCACTGCGCAAAGGTTCCAAATTGGGCGACCAAAATCTTATTTGACCCTCCTTACTACCCGTTATCCAAACACCGGTATTTTCTGGGGTATCATTCACAGACAAACTTGCCAATTTACGTTTCATTTCTTCGGCTTCTTCATCGAAATCCTCATCATCATCATCTCCAGCACCAAACTGCGCCTCCTCTTCATCGAATCGCTCCTCCTCCGCCTCATTCAGCAAAAAATCCGAACAAATCTTCATCAAACTGATACAACATACCGCAGATTTATGTTCCGATTTCCTAACCATGGGCTGGGATGATATGGGCAATGTCAACGCTTCCTTTTGACCCGATGGATCATCGTCCTGGAAACCAAATATCAAATACGATACAAATTCATTCCAATCGCATTTGAAATCACGATTTTGATTTATTTTCAAAAATAACCGCTGATATTCGAGGTCATTAAAAGTTATGTTGAGATATTCCAACTCTTCACGCAGCTCGGCATAGCTAAGTTTTCGTTTTGTCACGAAACGTTCATGCAGCTGTTCAATTTCATGCGACTTCAACCATTCGTGTAAACGTTCGGGTCGTTCGACAATGTCGTGGGAACATTCTGAAGATACCGATTGATATTCGATAAGGGGGCGGTCCTGATCGGCAGAGAAATCAAGTGTGTCCATTAGAGGTAAACAAACCAAATTGGAAGGGAAAAATTAAAAAATATAAAATATTTTTTGAATGAAAAATTTGAGGTTATACCGAACATACTAGGAATATTTCAAGGTAGATATAATTAATATACCTTGGAATATTTTTTAATGCATTTTTAAAAGAATATGTTCTCATTGTCCCAATAAGGCGTACATTTTTAAAAGAATATTTTCCCATTGACCCAATAAGGCGTAGATTTTTAAAAGAATATTTTCTCATTGACCCAATAAGGCGGAGATTTTTAACAGAATATTTTCTCATTGACCCAATAAGACAACCAATTTTTTGTTTAAAATTATTTCATTTAGTTTTTTTAGTTTTTTTTCACATTTTAATTAAAATAATTACATATTTATTTATTTTCTTTAGAGGAGACACTTAAACGCTAACAATTTTGTATTTATATAAAATGAAATCCAAAGATATAAGATAAAAAATATAGCTTGATATTTTTATATACAACGTTGTATCACATCATTGATACCGGTGCCACGATCGCCATATTCACCACCACGTTTATATGAAACGGATACTTTATTTTTCCAACCATCACGGGGACTTGATAACTGAAATAATAAGAAAACGGAAAAAATAATTAATATAAATTGAAATAATTAATTTCAAAATTTCTAAATTCGCGGTTTATTTTGTAAAATCAAGTCATTCTGAAAATTGTCAGAAAGAAGCCATCTATTCTCTGACTCATTTACTTAAGAAAGTACTTAGACCTTAAATACTTAAAATTTTATGCGACCCATAAATTTATTTGGGG